CATTAATTGAGATAATATATCTAACTTTCATTAAATTTGATCTATGGAAATATACAACTGCAATTTTACTTGAAATTTTCTTGAAGTTTGATTTTCGTCATTTCAAAGTTAAATTTGTATCTTCTTATAGATGAATGAAGTACGAAGTTTTAAATAAAGCCAAGAAAAATAATTAATTTGTCCAAATATAACCTCAGAATTAAAGATAATACTATATTTCAAAAAGAAAAAAAGAATCAAGATAATACTCTCCCAAAGCAGCACACAGATCAGGTTTCAATAAGGATTCCCTAATGAGGGACTGTAGGAGATTTCTTAGGGCTCTACTTTATCCATGCCGTTTGGCTTGCTTTATCGAGTCGTCAATTTGAAGAGTAACTTTAAATCCAAAAAAAAATTTATCATTATGTCATGTGGGTCTTTTGAGAAGTTTGGAAAATTGATAAGGAGATTATTCCACGGGACATCAATGCTATTGCCTTTATTTTTATAGGAGATTCTCCCTTGTTCTAAGTTAGGGTGCAATACTAGTTTCTAGTTCTTATTTTCTGCTACACCTAAATGTGCAATTCATTTGAATCTCTGCCTGCCATCTTTTTTTTTCCCCCAAATATGCCTGTCGTCTTGATCTTCTGATTAATGTTGATATGCAGCACATCTACCTGCACAGCATCCTTTTCCATTTGTGTTTGGTCTGGTCTTCTTTTACAAGGATGTACTTGCATTTTTTACTTTATTGCAGGTTCATTGTGCTAGACGGTTCTATGAGAATCTTGTCCCAAGCTATACGATATATGATGTTGAATGCCCTGATCATTCATTTCGTAAATTCACTGATGATGGGCAATACCTTATTAGTTTCAGCAGAAATCAGCAGTATCTAATTGTTTATAGACCAACTTGGTTATCGTTTTCATGCAAAGAAGAAGATTGTATCACTCATGATCTTCCCCCTAAGGCAAAGAGGTTCGAGAGCTTCTTCACCCAGTTATATTCTGTATCACTTGCTTCTTGCAATGAACTTATATGTAAAGACTTCTTCCTCTACATGGAAAGTAACCAATTTGGTTTATTTGCTACTTCTACGGCACAAATTCATGATGCACCTGCTACTGGAGGTGCTGTTCAGGGGGTGCCATTTATAGAAAAAATAACCTTTCATCTCTTAAGGTATGTGCTATTTCTCTTAGGCAAATGTTACAAATTGTGGAATCTTATGATGGACTTCTCTTCATGACTGTAATTCCATTACTTGCATTCGTAACATCATTAGTTGGAAAATGGGGTAATATTGGATGAGAAGGTTTTCCATAATGATTTTGTCAATTTGGGCCACAACATGAGTGTCTTCTTGTATGAGGATCTACTGGCAATTGTGTCACTTCGCTATCAGATGATACACATCCTCCAAATTAGGGATTCAGGTCATCTTGTTGATGTACGAGCTATTGGTACCTTCTGTCGTGAGGATGACGAACTTTTTCTCAACTCCAATACTCAGGCAAGATACAATTATTTTCTAGCATTGTTGGGATAACATTTTTTTTTTTTGTTTTTGTTTTTGGTTTTTTGTTTTTGTTTTTTTTGAAATAAAAGATTGGGATAACATTTTTTTGTCCTGTCACTTCATTACTCATAGCTTAAGTCAATTCTAGCCCCTTTTCCTCTTTTATTTTCTTTCCTCTAGGTTCTCTTTCTTTTTATTTGAGGCACCTTAACTTCTTCTCTTTATATTCTCTTCCCTTCTTAATAGAATCTTCTTCTCTGAATAAAAGAAAGAAGAAATGAAATGTGGTTGTTCTAAAAGCTTTTACCTCATAGTTAGTAGATCCAATCGTATAATAAACTGCCTTTTGTTTATTGAGGGTCTAAGTGGGCTAGCTTTTCTTTAGAGAGCTTATAGATAGCTACTGTGCCAAAGATTTCCTTTTAGAGAAAAAGATATCACTAAAATCTAATTAAATGGAACAAAAAGAGAAAAGAGATGTTGAATAGATGAGAGAGAGAGAGTCAATGAATAAATGTGAAGGAAAAAAAGGATTTTCAACACTTTATAGTTTTGGAATGCCCATAACTGAAAAATTGTAAAGCTCTTGTGCCACATGACATCTAAAGACTGTCATTCCACATGCTTCTGTAAATAGTATAGATATTATCTTCAGTATGGTGCCAAAACCAAGGTTAATGTACCAAAAAAAGCACAGAGATAATATTGTTAAGTAAATTGTTGTGTCAAAATCCTAGTAGAGAGAAAATAAAGTTTGCACTTGTTTGGTCAATCTTCCTAGAACCGCAGTCACTGGTATCAACTGTCGTCTTTGCTGGTGGTCTTGTCCGAAGTCCATGTCCCATGCTCTGGCAGTTACCAATATGTGACTCATGCACTACGTATACTTGTTGCTGAAATTAGAAATTGACATGATTGAGTTGGCTGGATTTTAACTTTTGTCAGGCTTGTTATTACTTGGTTCAGAGTTGACGTAATTTTCTAATGATTTATGCTGGAGCGAGCTGCCTTTTTCTATGTTAAAGCATAGATTTTTTTTTTTTTTGCTTTTAGCAATTCTAGGTCTTTTTTTTTTGTTAATATGGTTCAGTTTTGTTTTTAGCAATTTTAGCCCCTTTTAGACTGTTAGTAAGCATGCTGCAAAAAGTTATACGGAGACTAAATTGGGGCCATCTACAACAAGCATCTAACTACCTGAATATCATCCTCAGTCGAATGGGAATAGTTGAATGCAATGGGCTAAAATTGTTCATAAAGTACCTTATAGATAGGTAAACATTTTTCGTTTTACTGAGTTTGGCACCAAATGATAATTAGTCAAAACTAGATGTTTGTCTACAAGAGGATGGACAAACTATGTCTCTAGTGGAATTTCATGGAACCTAATGTTGTTTATGTGTGCCTATGTTGATGTGTGCAAGAAAATATGATAATTTGTCAAGCTCCTGTATGCTGGCAACAAGACTCCTCTCTATGATTTGTCTGTGGAGTTGTTTATTGGAGGCAATATGAGAAGCCAATACTTAATATTTTGTTGGCCTACAACTTTGTAGTTTATGGTGGCGCCAGAGAGAAACAGGGTGCAGCAGTTTCCTGGGAACCGTGGGGATCATATGGAGAATGGCTTACGTAATGACCAACCTAATGCAGACAACTTATTTCTTAGTGGCATTAAACAACGACTACTTTCATTTATATTCAGAGAGATATGGAATGAAGAAACAGACCAGACCCTGGTTTGTCACTTGAGTCTCTTGGACTTGTTTATTTTCCAAATTTAAATTTTTTGTTCATTCATTTCTTTCATTTGGTCAGGGTTTATTGTTTTCTTTTCTTATTGCCATCTAATTTTTGAAGTTTTAAGAAAAGGTTTTTAGTTCACTTCTAAGACTTCAAGGCAATATATCTTATCTCCGCCGCATCTCTTTGTTCATTTCTTTTTGTCACAATCTTGGATTATTTAGCACTCTTATATATGATTTATGTAGCCTTTATCTGTTTCGAGTCTCTTCATTGAAGCTCCCAATCATCTTCTTCGAATATCATAGCCTGTCCAATTTACAAGATTGCAGTTGGTAGAAGGTGCTAGTTGTCAAAGTAAGCTATTGTACCTTGCATTGACTTTGTTAGGAACAAAATAGCTCCTTACCCTCTGGTTTACCAAAGAAGGAAAAAAATTAATAATGCTGTGTAACCGCTTATTTTATGGGTGTTAGTGTTATTGTTGTTGTGCAATAATCATGTAAGTGTATTAAAATAAGTGTTAGATGTGTATTAGAGTGAGAAATAAGTCTGCTCTTAAGACAAGGGCAGTTTAAGTAATTCTGGAATTTTTTTCCAGAATTAACTGCTCCTCTTTGTACATATCTACTGCTGTGGGAAAACAAACGGATGATTTATGAAATTGTTCTTAAATGAAGTGTACTTTTCTACTCTAGAGATCGTAAGATTCTTTATATCCAATGAGCCCTAGTTATTTTTTTCATTTCTATAGATATGTAAAGATAGAAAATCAAAGAAAAATGTCTTTCTACTCATTGATTTCATTGTGAATCGTCATATAACACGATCTTTAAGTGGGGACTGTAACAATTTGGAGTCTTTTTTCTTTTTGAAAGGAAAAGAATAAAAGGTAATAATTAAACAAGGTGCCAAGGGGTTTCTACTCATTTGCTAAGGAAAAGCATTTACCAACCATTCAAGATATTAATTCCTGAAATCCTCCTCAGAAGTAGGAGGATGATCCTTGAACAAAAACAAAGCATCTGGAACCACAGGTTCTCAAAAGCCCTGTGATTCCTCTCATTCTGGATAACCCACAGGTAGCCAAGGGTCTAGAGAGTTTTTTTTTTTCTTCTCTTATCACCTAAAGATACCTAACCAAGCCCAGAGCTCATCTGGGACCGGCCAGACAGTTG